TTAAACTAAGTTAAAACAAACAAACAAACAAACAAAAAAAACCCATCAGTGCCAGAGGAGAATTCATGTTGGCAGGTATAGCAGCAGCCCACACCTGCAATCCCAGAATTCTAACTTGGAAGGTGGAGACAGAAGGACAGCAAGTTTGGGGCTAGCCCAAGCTACATAATGAATGAGAGCCTGTTGAGACAGAGTCAAGAGGGAGGGGAGAGAGAGAGAGAGAGAGAGAGAGAGAGAGAGAGAGAGAGAGAAATATTACCTTCCAATAGCACTCTTACATTTATAATTTCCAATTTGCAAAGATGAGATTGGTCCATGCAGGTGCCTCCCAACTGCCCAGGCAACACTGACAGGTTCCCTGCTAGACAAAGAGACACACGCCACCAGGGGGAAAGAAGCAGCAGCTGGCCCTCTGTTGTGGTGGGATGTCTTTCTGTATGCTGTGAGTGTGTTGCTCTGATTGGTTGATAAATAAAGCTGCATTGGCCAATGGCAAGGCAGCTTAGTGGCAGGTGGAAATCCAAGCAGATAGAAAGGAAGAGAAAGAAGAGGCAGAGAGATGCCATCCTGCTGTCCAGGGATCAGCATGTAATGACACACAGGTAAAACCACAGAACACGTGGCTGACATACAGATTAATAGAAATGGGCTGAGATTAGTTATAAGAGCTAGCTAGCAAGAAAATTGAGCCATAGGCCATGGTCATGCAATTCAAAATTGATATAAGCCTCTGTGTGTTTACTTGGGTCTGAGCGGCTGCAGGACCGGGCGAGACACAGGAAAAGATCCAGCTATGCTCTGTCCTGCCCAGACTCTAGCTGCTGCACTGCCCTATCCTATATGAATGACACTGTGAATCCTCTTCCTGCCCGGGCATCTCCTGGGTCTGAGTGATGAATGTGCTTTAGGTGTCTCTCAGCTACACTAGAGGGGCCTATCAATTTATCTAGATAGGGGAGGGGCAGGCTGGCTTGGACAATACCATTGGTGGTTTAAAGTCTTCATTTTTTTTTTCAACTAATTTCAACTTTATTCATAAAGGTTGTGAGACAGCATTGGGGGTTAGAGCACATCATTCAAATATTAACTCTAATCGGGTGGTTGTCTTTGTTCCTTGTTCCACAGGAGGGTTGAGATCCTCATGGCTCCAGATGACACTGCAGGTGAGTGGAAGAGCCAAGCCTGGGAAGGGAGGGCCTCTTGACACTCCACAGACATCTGCTCAGTTCCCATGACACGCCAGACGATGTTCACACAGAGAGTCCGGTGCTTTTTGTCCATTTTCACTTTTAACCTCATTGACAGCATCTAAATGCACACTTTTATATCTCCACCTGCGGGTGCCCCCACTCCACAGGACATCTAGCAATGTCCAGAGACAAAAATTTGATTGTCATATGTGGGAGAGTGCTATTGTCATCTAGCAGATAAATGTCTGGAGTGGTGCCAGATGTCCCACACTGTGTAAGAGAGACCCTCATAAGAATCACCTGGACCAAAATGTCACCACAATGAGGTGAAGAGCCCCTGAGGAAGGGGGCGGGTGCTCTGTTAAAAAAAAAAAAGAAAGAAAGGAAGAAGATAGAGGAAAAAAAGGAAGAAAGAAAGAGAAAGAAAGGAAGGAAGGAGGGAAGAAAGGAAGGAAGAGAGAGAAATAAATAAATAAAGAAAGAAAGAAAGAAAGAAAGAAAGAAAGAAAGGGAGGAAGGGAGGAAGGAAGGAAGGAAGAAAGAAAGAAAGAAAGAAAGAAAGAAAGAAAGAAAGAAAGAAAGAAAGAAAGAAAGAAAGAAAGACAAAGCAGAGGAGCCAGGTGGGCCACAGGAATAACAGATGCCACACAAGTGCCCAGCCCCCATTCTTCCTGGCTTTCAAGCTAGAAACTAAAATTTTAATGGGAACTACTTCCCTTTTAAGAGTCCACAATTAAGCTGCATACTTTAAAAATTCTATGCAGGTTGGACAAAACAAATCTGGAGGCACTGGAATCAGGGCTGCAGTTTTGCCTGGAGAAAGGCTGCTCTCCACATGAGCAAGTATAGCATAGCATTGCCTTAGACTGGAGGGCTTAGAGGAACTCTTAGGCATTGACAATTCCTAGCCTTACCTACTCCCCTCTCAGGCAACATTTGTTGTACCATTAGGATGCAATAGAATCCTGTTTGCGTGGCTTTTCCTGCACAACAACCCCAAGAGCTAAGTGAACTTGCTCTTTCCCACTTTAGATGCAAGGGGTTCAGAGTCACAAAGCCATCCCCCAGCTCTTCCATGTGGCAAAGCAAATGTCAGTATTAGAATCTGAGCCCCACCTGTTAGCCTCAGATCTGTTAAGGAGAAAGCCAGCTTGCTGGATCTTCAGTGTCTCTACAAAGACATCTCTCTACAAGGGACTTTGCTCACTCTTGGGTCCACACACACAAGCACCAGTACACTGCTATTGTCTGGTCACCCCAAGCTCCCCAAGTGCTCAGAACCTCAGCCCCACATCTAAAGCCACATCTTCCCACTGGAAGTGAGGTTCTTCCCCAGGGCATTGTCTGATGTTTCAACCACTGGGAGGTGGCCAGGCGTACTGGTAAACCTGCACAGGGCCAATCTACTCCAGAGAGCCACCCAGCCTGAAATTCCAGTGGTGCTGGGGTGGGGGAACCCCTAGCTAAGAAAAACATGACAGCCTTTGTGTCATGAAATAAGCAACCAGCAAAACATTCCGGTTGATTCCATCTGCTCATCATCTTAAACACCACTTTATTTCTCTCTTCCTCTTCAGCTCTTTCTCCCCACCCCCCCACCCCCGCCCCCACCCTGGAATTTTATGGTAATCCCTTCTCTCCATGCTAAATGTCTACAGGGGAGAATCATCTCACATGGTTCTTACATCTCAGCCACAGCAAGCAAATAAGAGGACAATTAACATGAGGCCAACAAAAGACCAGTATTAATCCACAAGATAAATAAATCCTTGAGTTTCAAGCATAATGGCCTCTCGTGCCGAAAATATTCATTTTTTTCTGAAAGTTCTAAACCAGTATCTAAGCCCACAACAGACTCAAACAAACTCAGCCCCTCTCTGCTAAATACACACACAGACACACACACACACACACAGACACACACACACACACACACACACACACACACACACACACACACAAAGGAGCGTGCTGGATTTCATAAAATAATTTTAATAGAAAAGTACAAGATATGAACAAAAATAAATAATCTTTATCTCCTTTCTAGCTTAGCAAATTGAAAACCATATAAAAATTGGTCTAAGATGCAAGTCCTTCCTCTCTTTGGAAACACTGTAAGAGCTTTTCTTCAACCTTTTAGATTGGCTCACACCAACCTTTCATTACATCTGCTTTATAAAGCTAGCTAACAAGGTATTTCTCCAACATAAAACATCACTCAATCCTCAGATTTAAGTGTAAACTCCACGTTAACAGGCAAATTAGAAGATCCCTTTTATAAGTTTTAATCCTATGTCTCTAAATGTTTCTGCAATTAAAAAAAAAAAACATCATGTTAACTTTCACGATATGGCATCTTGTTTACTATTTCACAAAGAGAGGGAAGACTAGAAAATACTTTTCAAGAAAATAAATATTTTAAAGTATGCTTTACAGTAATAGTGCAGTGCTTTCGAGCTGGGCCTCCATGCTGGTTCGCATTAAATATGCACTTGAAGTTACAAGCAACTTCGCTGTCCCCATTCTCTGCTGATCCTTCAGTTTTTATAGGTGACTTTCACTAACAATCGCTTCAGTCAGTTAATCCAGTTCTTGTCCACAGGTTGCATCATCCTGCTCTCAGGCCCTATCTGAAGGTTCCAGTGACTTGAATAATGTTGCAGCAAAACACATTGGAAATTGCTATTGGGAAAAATCTTCTGAGAAAGAATGTGGGCAGGCAGCTGCTGTCATAGAAGGTCAAAAGCCCAAAGAAACAGGACTAGAACAACACAGCCTTGACCTGGAGCCCAAAACTGACCATTTTGAACATGGTTTTGTTTGCCACTGCCTCTGTATAAACGTTTCATTGATGTTCCTGGACTGGGAAGGTCTTGAATGCTCTCCAGGATGGGAAGAAAAAGATGCTGACATTGCTACATTGAGTATATGTTTTAGCAATAAAGAACACTGGTCAGTATACAACTGAAGAAAAACGGAAACAGATGGGACTCCTAGAACCACAAGCCTTTGAATTTGCCCAGAAATGCTATTTTAAACACTCTATATGTTGGTCTACTGTTTTTTGTGTGTGGAATAATGCATTCTTGGTTTTCTTTAAAGGTTTCAATATGTTACAAGGTTATCCGGACAGGGGGAAAAGGGGGCAAAGGGCTAGCTAATGTATCCGCTGCGCAGGCCTGACCAGATTCTGGGATTCATTTCCAGAAAGCAGGAGGCCTCTTATTAATTGCATGTCACACAAGGAAGCTTTAGTTCCCATTCTCTGCAGCTTTTTTTTTTTCCACAAAAACTGTGTCCATTCAAATGGGGCACAGAGATGCCCACGTGGCCTCTGGTAAACTCGAATAGAGAGACACAATCGTGGCAGTGGTACACATGATGATACATACACAGAGATGCACAAACACATGCTTGTGTGTGTGTGAGAGAGAGAGAGCTAAAAATCTGGTCATGGTTGAAAGCATGAGCTTTTTTGGTTCATCTCTGGGATGTTACAACAGCAACACACTCTAAAACAATTAAGTCGCACGCATAATGCCGAAGGAATGTGAGCGATCCCGTGACCAGCTTTACGCCATCTGCTTGATCCCCTTCTCACTCTCTTTTTGAAGGAACATATATAGGAAAAGAGAATTCCGTCTTTGTTCTGTTGCATATAGAGCTCTTTTGAAGCCTCCAAGTAGTTTGGTTTTTGGTAAAATTGTCCGCTCTTCTATTATTTGAACACACAGCAGCCCTAAGCTACCCCTGTGGCTTCTCCTAAAAACATTTCTTCACATGAATTAGCTGAAGGACAACTGAAACCTCTTACCAATATACAAGTAACTTTTTATTTTATACTCTATCTTCCATTGGCAGAAGCCTTTCGATGTTTTTTTTTAAACCAGTGAAATATACAAATCACACAAGACAGAAATATGTACATTAAAAGTACAGAATAAAGGCCATAGAGGATATACAAAATATCTGAATGACGCGTAGAATATCTTACATTAAATAGTTTTTTTTTAAAGCTAGGATTGTTAAACTCCACTCTGCTCATAAACATGAATCACTAAAAAAAGAACATAATCTGATTTAGCAAATATAAAAAGCATACTTCGTGGTTTTTGTAGAATAAAAACCAAAAAAGTGACATTTTAAACTAAATTAGTGCTTTTTTATTTCAAGATCGTTTGCTTGTGATTCACTGTAGCTGAGGGGAAATGAATATTTGGGGGCAATAAGTTAAGAGCCACAGGGCTGAGGTGACCGGAAGGCCACCAAGCCTATGAAGGGAGACATACATCTTTTCAAACCTTGAAAACCAGCATCGGGCCCAACAACAACACATCAGATGCCGCTTTTGAAATAGAGGTGCCCTTATTTTAAAACATTGTTTAAACTAACTATCTATGTGGTGAGCGGATTTGCTTCAGGAACTCTGGTCAGTCCTCACTGAGAAATGAGTTAAGCAAATGGAGATGAGGCTGGCTCCTGGGTTCTGAGTGCCTCTCAAGATCCGTGACTGTGACAGACCACAATGCCCTCCCCACAAAAAATACCAAAGAGGGGGTGGAGAACGGGGGTGGGGGGGGGAGGGCAGGAAGCAGAAAGGCCACCTTCTAACCAACGTGCATCTCGGGACACCAGCCCTGAATGCTTCTGCAGAGTCTAGCTTGCTTCCTGGCATTTGTGGTAGGATCCCAGAGAGTTACATGCCAATGTCAAGACTCAAAAATTTTGGAAAAAAGAAATCCTAACTGGACTTCAGTGAAGGACAGTACTCCAGGCAGAGAGTAAGCCCAGAGCAAACTGTAAATCTAAATCGCGGACTGCACTGAGATATAATTATATCTATATTTATATATGTATATTTATATATATGTTATGTACAAAAGACTGAGATATCAGGCACCATTAAACCACTCCCTCCCCCCTTATAAATGCAACTGTTCAAGTACACTAGGAACAGTTTTGGCGTACACCTGCAGGATAATAGGAAAAGCACAAATGGATAGTCTAAATACAGGGTTATACCAGTCACAACACCTCTGTGGACTCCTTGGGCCAAGAAATATCAGCAAAACACATGAAGTTACTGTACCTCAAAAGAAAAGCTTTAGAGAAATAAAACAACCCCCCAAGTAGCTGTTTTTGAGCATAACTCCTCACGTACATTTCCTGCCCTGCAAGCAATGAGCATCCATGTAGCTGTCATTTGGAAGCATGGTCAGCATCACACAAGGGCACAGAGAGTCCAGAGAGGGCTTGGGGTCAAGTAGGAAGGTGGCTGCCACTTTCTCCTCAAAGAGGTATTCTGCCCTTCTGCAGTGCTCAACTCTGTGGGCTTTCCTTGTTGTCTGGGGAGAGGGTCTGCAAATGGAATTCATGGGTAATTTTCATTTTTAAGACAGGAAGATGGCTTTCAAAACCAGAGAGTTGTTGAGTCAAAAATCCCTTCCCAGACATAAAGTCTGGTATTCAGAATCAGCTGGGGCTAACACTATAAGATTACGGCCTCAATATGGGAAATTTCAAGTCTTCTAATTTCTGGGGACATCCCCCACACACACACTGCCCACCAGCTCCCCAAGTTTCATGAACTGTTAGAAAAAGGCACATCCATAATTGGAGTATCTATAGGTGGGCTATAATAACATACATGCTATGCCTGTTTAGGAAGATACAAGATTCTTGCTCTTACATTCTGAAAGATGATTTTGAACATACAAAAAGAGGACTGCTAACCTCTGGAATGGGGAGTGTCTCCTAGTCTGTATTTCTGCCATATATGTATATTTAATATATCTAGATTTAAGATCTTTTGTCTTGTACCAGAGCATCTGCAATTCATTTTGGCCATAGGAACTGAATCATTCATGGGTCTTACCAACCTCTTTCACCTGGCTACCACCTGTCCCACAGGACTCTGTATTTGAGAAGAAAATAGTTCCTATACCTTCTGGATGTGAACCCCAACCATGCAGCTAAAAGAATATGTGTTATTTCCCCTTTATCCTGTAGCATCAGAAGAAAGAAGGTTTGTACTAACTTTGCAAAGATTCGTAAAATAAATATTTTTTTCTTGGTTTCCCCCATTATTGCCAAATATTAATTATAATATTAATAATAAACCACAGAGTTCTCAGATGGTAACAGAAACAAAAATATGGTTCCAGCTGCAATTCCTGGGGGAAAATAAAAAGAACCAGAATCACTGTACTTTCTATAAATAAGTGGGTCCTGGGAATGGGGTTGAGGGATGGGCAGGTAGGCACACCACTATTTGCACACAAACTGATCCACGATCTCCGTGCACTTCTTGCACTTGACATAGCAGCACCAGTGAAACTTGCAATGGCAGCGTTCCGTCTGCACCGTCTTAAACTGGTCATAACCGCGGCCGCAGCACATTAGCTCGCAGCCGTCCATGCCCTCGGAGGTCTTGTTGCACAGGCGGCCCTGGGTGCCCAGCGAGCCTGTGCTCTCGTTGCGCACACAGTAGTCCGGGCTCGGGTCGATATAGACCAGGTCCTGCGTGGTCGGGGAGTTGAAGCGGCTGTTGACCTGCACCAGCTTGCCCCGGCTGTTCAGTCTCATGGCTGCTGCGCTGTCATACTTCTCCTTGAGGGCATCGCCCACCTTTCGGAAGTCCGCCAGCTGCAGCCAGCATGTCTTGAGGCTACATGAGCCAGACACTCCATGGCACTTGCAGGCTACATCGGCCAGGTTGTATACTGTCTGCAGGAGGAAAGGCAGGAGGTTACTGCGCAAATTCTTGGAGGAGCTGAGTGAGATGCAGGCGTGAGCATGGTGAACAAAGCTGTCCTCCGCTTTCTAGGGGCAGCCATGTCTCTCGGCTGAATCAAGGGTTGTGTTAGTGCTTCATTCCCCCACTGCTAGAAATATTGTTACCGACTCTGAAAACTCTACAGCTCTTTAGTTTTCATCATTCCATCTACAACTATCGAATTCAAATGGCAACAGAAAAAAAAAACAAAAAAACCAATATTCCAAACGGCCGCCATTTGCGCAGGGAAACGTCATCAGGACTGTGTGAACTCCATTTCTTGCCTGTCTTCCCTGAATGCAGGCCCACATCCAAGCCTCTGAAAGATGTGCTGTTGTCCTTCTACTCACAGAGAAGGGAATAGAGGCCTAGAGAGATGAGCTCCTACCCAATCACTGGGAAGCAAAGAGTGCCTGGATTTGAATCCAGACTGTAGGCCCACATTTAATGACCAGGTAAGTGCTGAGTTAGGAACGGATCCATCCCTAGAGGGATCAGTGTTCCCGTCTTCCCCCATCCTACCCTGCTCCTGTGTCTTTCCACTGTCAGAACAGGCCTGACACCTGCGATCTCATCCAATCATCCTAGCAGCTCTGGAGCAGATAACAGCACAGCGACCTCTCAAGGGTAGGTGGCTCACACAGGTCACACAGCCACGTGCAGGGGAACTTGGTCTGGGTCTCAGTCATGCTCACTGCTCTTCACTTTATAGTCCCTACTCTGCCCTGTCCCACACTAGGTCTCAAGGACCACCTTGCAGCCACAGACATAGGATGTCTGATTTTGCCCTTGAACTCAGGCAACCAGCTGTCCCTTCTAAGCCGTTTGCCACCTGTGGATGATACCAACCTCCTAGCCCAGTTAGGAAGATAAAATTGAGAAAGGCAAGGAAGCACTTGGCACTCCAAACCCACTCAGTAAATCTGGTCGTTGTCCAGGGTGAAGGGGCCATGGCCCTGGGTTTTTGCCCAGTCACCTCGGGCCTCCCAGGAGCAGTGCTCAGAGGTCTGGCCCCACAACACTGTGCCCAGCAGTCTGGGAGGTGGTGGTTGCCTATTTATAGTCCTGACTGCCCACAGTCCCTCATGCCAGCAACCTTCCAGAGTCATCATGGTGTGGCAGTGCTGGCCAGGGCCTGTCCAGAACCCGGAGCTACTTCTGCCCAAACAACCGCCACCTTCCTCCTCCAAGGATTCACAAGGACTTGCTTTTAACAGGGGTCACAGTATATTATCATGCCACAAAGACTTTCAGCCTGATAAATGTTTTGTAAATATATTTAATCTTTGCTCCCATCTAAGGAAAACCAAAAGCTAATGCCCTAAAGAAATTTTGATATGATTTCCTGGCACAGTGGACAACTTTCAAAGGTACCCAACCCCCCAACTTAGAGAAGAGCTGGTTCCTGTGTCACCTTACTGACCAAAATCCTGCCTTTAGCTCATCATTCCCATGATACGACACAACCAAATAAATGTCACACTTCAAAATTCGACAAGATCAAAGTATCAATATCAAGGGCAACAAAAATAGCAAAGACACTTCTCAACTTCTCCAGGGGTCCCTCTCGCCACGTGGAAATGCTTGACCCTCTCCTGTCAGTAGACAAGCCCTTCAGGATTTCTTTCTAGGAAAGAAGTGATAAGGATGTCCTGAAGATGGCCTGGGACATTTCTGGTAGAGAGAGGAACAGTCCCTGAGGTAGAAGGCCTGAGCAAGTACACGCTGTACTTTTTCTGTGGCAATTACCTGTCCCCTCAGGGAAGCATAAGCAAAAACCGCACTGCATTTAGTCCTTCCCTGTCATCCTCAACTGTTTACCATCCACTTTGAGAGGAAGTTCGCGGGAATTATCTACACAATCTTGGACTTTCTCTAGGTCCTATTATTCTGTAGTGTTTAATAATTAACTTATCATTTATCAAGTACTGACTACTGACTGACACTAAGCTAAAATCTGAGAGTGAACCAAAGGAAACATTGTTGTAGGCTGGATTTCCGACGGTGTGCCCGAATACCTGACCTCACTTTGTTCTTCACAGCGACTTCCAAGTGGAAGCCATCGCCATGGCCACGGGAAGAAGTGGAAACGAGCAAACTGAGGTTCAGAAACTAAGAGAGACGGACCTGATTTTAGGCCAGCATCTCTAGGAGCTCTTCAGCCCCAAGCCCTGATGAATGTGTTTAAAGCAAGTTCACCGAGGTTTCTAACAGAGATCCACTGATTGCCTTACACAGCCACTAAGTGGTCCTCTTTGGCCTCAGTTTCCCAATCTGTGAGATGAGGGTGTGGGGCCAGAGAGTTCTAAAGCTCCTTCCAGTCCTCAGGTCTACTCTGTGATTATCTTCCTCTTTCCTCACCCCAAAATACAGAAGAGTGAAATCTGTGACCAGAAAGTTCCTGGCACCTACCTTGGGTTCTATGAAAAAAAAATAATGGCCCTGGTTTTCAATGCTGCCAAAGTTAAGAAACATTTTCACCCCTTCATTTTAAAGCAGCCATAAAGTGCCATGTGTTTAACCGCAGGGAAAAAAGGGTCTTTTTAAAAATATCTTGGAGTAGCTTTTCATATCCCCACCAGGGGAAGGAAAGAGCGGGAACAGGGGTCTCAGGGGTGCTGGGGGCAGATTGTCGATACCTCTTCTCTCAAAAGCCACCCTGGACTCAGACTAAAGCACTGACAGTTACTAAAACTTCTGTCTTTTCCCTAACAAAAGCCCTTTGGAAAAACTCTCAGCCCATCAGATCTGCTATATCCACAAGGTGGTCAGGGAGGGAAAAAAAAAAAAGGAGGGTCCAAAGCTGGGGTGAGGCCTTGCTCAGTGGAGCACCTAATGCTTTCCCTAACTCAAACCCAGCAGCCACAAATGGGTGAGCTCTAATACCCATTGGTGGGCCAGCTACAAAGGTCCACAACACACTTCTCAGCAAACAGCTGAAGCTGCTGGACCCAGGGCCCATTAATGGAACCATTCAGGCCCCTGGAGGGGCAGGCCTTTCTGGAATGTGCACCTCTCTCCGAGGAGGCCCACGAGGAAGGAACTGACTTAAGGAAAATACAAAGAGGCTGGGAGAACTAGCCAGAGGAAGACACAGGAGGCCAAGCATGCACAGAGACCCAAGCAAGGTGTGAGTATCTAGGAGAGACCTGAGCTGAGTGAAGGTGACAGGAGGGTCCAGCTCCTGTGCACCCACGAGGGGAGGAGGGGTGGCAGGGGGCATGGTACTCACCCTACGGCCTGCTTCATTGTTGTGCAGGTTCATGAGAATACGTGCACTCTCATAGGAGCCCTTGGCATGGATTCGTTCCCGTTCCCGTGCATCCACGAATTCCTTGGCGAAGCGGTAGCCATAGTCGATGTTGTCCCCACAGCCGCCCCACAGCCAGTCCCGAGGCAGGTCCTTGGGGCGCGCAGCACGGCTGCAGCCACAGGTGGACAGCTCGCCCTCCCGGCATGCGCGGCTCATGGCATTCACAACCCCAGCTGCGCTCACCGCGTATGTGAAGGCTGTCTCTCGGCTGCCTGCAGGAGAGGGATGGGGGTCACTCGATTGCCTGCCCCATGCAGATGCCTACATCTTGCTCTGTGTGTGTGGGGTGCGGGGGAGGAGGGTCGGCGCTAAGAAGACCTCCAACACACTGGCTTGTGCTGCTGGAGAAGGCTGAGAGAGTCTCCAACACACACCAATCCTTGGGGCGGTAGGGGCCCCCAGAACACAAGGCCTTGGACCCAGTTGTGGAGCTAGGGGAAACCACTTGTCCAAACACAGGCGCAAACAGTTCTCAGGCCCACTGAAGGCAGGAAAAATCCTAATAACAGAGAGAGAAGAGGGAGCCCCAAGACATAGCAAACCTGGATTATCTGGTATAGGAGAGAGAGCACCCCAACATGCCTGAGCTGCTACTGGAGCAAAGAGCCAGTGGATAACCCTCAGGCTGACTCTGCACACTGGACCCCACCCTGAAACACACACCCAGGCCCTGGGCCCACCTTGAGGCAATTGCAGAAGGATGGATCGGGTCACACACAGAAGCGACGACTAAGAAAGGAGACCTGGATACCTGCATCTACTGGGACATTTCAGAGCCTAGTCAGGACTTCAACACTGCAGGATTCATTTTCACTAAACCCTTTTGAAGATATTCAAAACGTCTTATTTCTAAAAAAAATGCGCATGAAAGAAGCCATTGAAGGAAAGCTCAGAACTGGGCTAGACTTCTTTACCCTTGTTCTAACGTTGATATTATTTTCGTCTTGAACAGAACAGGACTCGATAGGCTTAGATGCTTCTGCACATCTCAAGTCCCTGTGCTCCCTCCGCCAGACAGTGTGTGTGTGGGGGGGGTGTCACAGTTTGTTTTCACCTGGCACCCTCCCTCCCCTGCACCACCCTCTGGGCTCTCCACTCTACTGCCCCTACTCTGTTCTAAACCTGCCCTGAAATCTCTCATTTGAGAAGGAGTGGTTAAAACAGCCTCCTGGTTGGCCTTGGTGCCACATCTACTACCAATCCCTCACCCCCTGACTCTCCTGCCCTCTCTCCCTACCCATACATAGCCTTTGCCTGGGACAAGAAGAAGAAAAAGCAAACAGACTTGGGGGGAAGCGGGGTGGGGAGTAGAAAGTGTTCTTCCCTCAAACTGGTCAAGATTATCTCCCCATAAAAACACCCATAGGAGCCCTGTTAGCAGAGACTAGCTTAAGTCTGACTTGCATACAGAGAAGTTTCTGCATGTAACAACAAGCAACTTGATAAACAACCACACTGGGAGAGAGAAAGGATTAGCAGTCTGCCCCCTGGATGAAGCTAGGCCTGGGTATGGAAGAAAGATGGGGCCTCCTTTTCACAATCTAGTGTAAACCAAGGGTATTGAAATTGATGCCCAGGAAATGAAGGTCCCTTCTGATGCTCAACCCCTGTAGCAGACTGGGTTTCTCATCCATTTAGAAAGCTTGCTAGCCATCTTTGCTGAGCAAGGGCAGCATAAAGATAGCAGATCTCAGCAGGACACAGCCAGCCCCAAGGAGAAGGAAGGTCTGTCCAGGAGTGATGGTCCTGCTGACCCTGGTGCCTACCTTCTCCCCAGAAAAGCTGTGCCCCACAGCTCACTGGGGCCATTTGTGATCCCCAGGAAAGGACCATGACTTCAACTCACACAGACTCTTCCCTCCTGCACTTAAAAAATGAATGACTTCAGGAGAGTGCTGGTGGTGGGCAGGAGGGTCCATCCAGAAAGTTCCAGTGGGGTTTTACATCTGTCTAGTTCAAATTAGACAGCAGCGTATATAGGGGAGTGGAAATAAATGAGGAGGGCAGACAGATTGGAGGGAGTCATTTGAAGATTAACACTGATAAAACCGAAAATGCTGTGGCCTGTGCAGGAGAGCTGCAGAATAAAAGTATCTTGGAGAGAGGATGAGGAGATAAAATGACCCTCTGAGGACAGAGGGGGATGAGACACTGTCCTTTGAGTACACAGAGCATAAAAGGGCTTTTATACAACACACAAATCACCCAAGCTTTTTTTCATAGGTCTAGCTCAATCATGCCCATTTTCATCCAGAATACAAAACCTGGTAGGAATCTCTAAGCTAATTGTTGACTGTGGAAAAACATCAGTTTAAAAAGTGCTGTTTGGCTGGCGGCCTGGCCGTCTCTCTAGTCATCCTGCTTGCTCATTCAGTTGGGTCTCCCTCTGCATGAAATCTATTCTGACTTGGATCCTCACATCCCTTAAAAATGGTGCCTTCCCCGACATCTTTTCACAGTTTAGAAACAAAGACAAGAGAGAGACAAAAGCCGGAAGGAAAAGGGGAATGAGATGAAAAATGAGAATGTTTCCAAAATGAAGCCTGGGCCCTTCAGGAGGCGACTGCGCACACTGCCTCCAGGGCAACTGGCACCTTAGAAAAATGAGCCCAGAAAGGGGTCAGAGGCGGCAGGAGGAGCTTTCCAGACACTGGCCCCTCACAGGGTCACATTCTCACAGACAAACGGTATTCTCCACATCCCTGAGGAACTGGGGGTTTGCGAGTGAAGTGGGCACACCTTGGGCAGCAAAGGTGTTCTCAACTGTCCCTAAACTCACCGACTTAAAGCAAAGCCTGAGTTAGGAAAAAGAAGATAAAAGACACTTTTCCATTCTTGGAGTTCAGTCCTGTTCCTTCTCATCCACAAAATCCATTCTAATTTTCCTGCTCTCCTTCTCTTGTTTCAGATAATTAAGAAAAAAAGGCCCATCTAATCTTCCAGATGGCTTTCTGCTCTAGGACAACCAGGTACTTGGGGACCTCTGGCCAGTGAGGATGCAGCCTGTGTTTCCTGGGGCATCAGATGATCTACCCATAGCACCAGTCACTCCCTGCCCCCACCAGGCTATGAGAGGATGGGACTCACACAAGACCCACCACCCAGTCCCCACACCAAGTACCACAAGGCCCAGGACTGAAAGAAAGGGATACTGGCAAGGGACAATTAAACGCAAGCATTTGGGGTATCAGCCTGGGGGAGACAAGCACTTTGAATCTTGGGCCACATTTAAAATGAGTCTCCAACAGAACTTAGCTCATCAAATAAGAGCTTATTCAGTCCACTCTGGCCCAGAGCAGGCCACATGTTGAGGATGAGGAGAGGATGCTAAACCAAAGCTGTTTGCAAGTGAACACAGAGCAGAGAGCACTTCCTACTGCCATCTCCCTCTGGCTCTTTCTAATTCCTGTCCCTTCAAAAAAGCAGTGGTCCCACAGTTTAAAAGGCAGTTGCATATGAGAGGGAATGCTGAAACTTGACATTTTGATAGAGTTTGGAAAGAGGTTTTTAGCTCATTTCTTATAGTATCAGAAAGTAGAAATAAGTGCACCATATCTCCAGGGACCATTCCTGCTCCCCCAGGCTTAGCTACTCCAGTCGGACCCCAGGATATACATTAGCACATTTTAATCATTGACAGAAAGGACAAAGCCCCATGAACCCTGCAGGCTGGGCTACAGGCTGTTCTCCCACTAGAGTAGAGGAGTGGATTCCAAATCTGTGTTATTTTAGTTTATGAAGTCCCTTGGCTTAAGCGTCCACTGACACCTCTTTTTTGTTCTCAATGAATGCACTTTTCAGGGTTTTCTTTCAAAAGTATTTTATCCATCTGTGATGGATATTAAGCCAACTTTTTATCTCCGGTCAGTATAAACAGTTAATTGCCTTTGATAAATTGCTTCTTACTTTTGGAGTCACTGCTGTCATATTAATTATAAAGGCTTGTTTGCATAAAACTAAGGAGACCTAAAACATTCACCCTAGAAAACACACAGGGCCCATCTGTCAAGGAGGATTCTAGACTATTGCAGAAAACCACAGACAAACTGAGTTTTCTATTCTTTTCTTTTCTTTTCTTTTCTTTTTTCCTTTTGGTCAAATTTAAATGCTGTCTCCTCCCTGAATGGGTCAACAAATTCAACAACATATTTAACATTAAAACTCAAGCTGTAATCAAGACACTTAAAACTGTTATTTCCAAGTTTCTGGGTTGAAAGCTCAAATGTGTATTTTTCTGCCGATTGTCGAAAATCACACACATAAATTGTATCACTTCTTATTAAAATTCTTTCTGGGACTAAAAATAAAGCTTTTAACTTTATATATCTCTGTAGCCTCAGGAAACGTCTATATTAGGAAAATTAAAACCTTACTGCCGGCATTGCCAGTGTTCTGAAAGATGACAACTTGGGCTATTTGGATGGTGCTTAAGACACTTCTAACCAGCCCAAGAGCCTTTGGATTTAAAAGGATTTCAATGGCTCAGTTTCCCCACCCCCTCTACTTTTGATAATTCAAATCAAGCATCTTGCTTCTATTTTAAATAAAATGCATTTAAAAAAAATGAAGTGTTGCTGGGAATGGCGGTTCTGTGGTGTCCTCCTCCTGAATTGGTTCAAGAAGTTTAGGAACTGAGAGTCAAGAGGTGGGATCAGACTTAATTTCGTTCTGGCTAATGACAAAAATCCTCAAGCCATCACCCAAGCTGTACAGTGGACACCCAACCCGTCGAGCATTCAAGCAAACACAAAGGTGGAGGATGAGGCCGATGAGCATCTCCCATGCTGCTTCCTTACCGATCTGCATCACCCTGCCAAAGACGGAGGTGTTGTCCACTGTGCTGCAGTTCCATCTGCGGTGCCGAAACTGGTACTGACACTCTTTAATGCCTGTCTTGGCGCCTTCTCCGATGTACTGCATGTGATCCTGATACAAGTGGCAGAGTTTCTTCTGTCCTTGAGAAAGTCCCGCCAGTTGGCTGCAGAGAGGCTGTGCTCCGATGATGTAGACCTCCGACATCTGAACGGGGTTATTCATACCTAGCGACCTGCAAAGGGGAGGGGGAGATGTGCGTTCAAGATCTACATGAACTCTGGAGGTAGCAGCCCCCCCACCCCCTTCCCCAAAAGCACGTCAGCAATACAGGCTTGAAGCATACAGATGCCTTCTCTCTCCTGTTGGTCCGCATGACAAACTATGAGAAGGGCTTCATAAAACTCCTCTGTTTAAACTCTACTAAGAAAACAGAGGTATTGTGTAGTCCCCACCGGGCCATCTGGCTCCCTCAGTTAGTGTTTTCACTGCTCCTTTCTGGTCACCACATATCTAAACTAATATTTCTGAGATTCACCCAGAAAAGGGGGAAATGGAGGTTTTTCAGAGACCGACCACTGACTTTAGAGACAGTGACTCGGTACTCACAAAGTGGATGGATCTGCCTTAAAAATGCAGGAACATCAAAAGTGGAGAGATAGCACCTTCTGATGAATGGAAGAACAGAGGGGTGTCTATACAGGCCGAAGAAAATCACCCTTGTTAAAACAGGAAATCCAGTGTCCAGAAGTCACATCTGACAGTCAGAAAAATGCTATTGCTTCACCAGAGAGGAATATCCAGAAAGCCACCATCACATACAATGCTCTGGGTATTTTGCAATCTAGAGAGAAACCCTCATTTAGGGACATCTGACTACTTCAAGTTCATCTCCTTTTGATCAAATTTCAAGTGCAAACACGTCTCTACTTGGGGTTTAGCTGTCTCCTAGGACTCTACTACTTCAGACACTGTGGATTAATAACCTCCAATGTCAGAAAAATAAAGAGGAAATTCATTTTTTAAATTTTACCTAGAGGTGGAAAAAAGTCAATTTTATAGATAGGCTTAGAATTATTAGAAATGTATTTTCCTTTTTTTTTTTTTTTTACATGAGGTACTGCAACTGCACGGCTCAACAAGGGACTCATAGAAAAAAAAGTTGAGATTTATAGATTGGGGTTTCTCCTGTGGAACTGAGTATATGATTTACAAAATTAGCAGGTAACAAGAAAATTCAGATTTAAAAGGCACATAGAACATATACGCATCTATATTAGATAAATGTACCCATGCTCACTCTCCAACTTCCAACACTGTATCATAATGCAAGTGTACTTTTAAAAACGGAAAGAGTAGGCACACACAGAATCCACTTACCACCAAGAATTAGCTTCTATTACAACCTGGGCGAAGGAGAAAAATGTGGCCAAAGCCATTAGGAAGAACTTGGAAGACATCGCACCTCCAGCCGTCCCCAAAGCTACTCCCGGGCTTAATATTCCAATGGACTTCTGGAGAGGGAAGAAAGGAGCAGATGTTTATTGCCTTCAGATAGTTTTCAAGCACGCAAGTTTAAACAACGGAAACATCCGAGGTCTCTCAAGTTTACTGTTGAGTGACTGCGCTTCTCCTCCGTGAGTTTTTTGATGGCAAGATATAGGCAGTTTCTTTTTCTAAATTAATCCACCCACGCAACCTCACCAGGAAATCTTATTTCGCTGGGATCCTGCGCGCGGGGCACGCCAGCGATTACAAACATGTCTCAATGCTGTTGAGTCAAAGCCTGGGTGCCAGGCTTCCAGCGACTTCCAGTCCCGCGCGCGCACACACACACACCCACGCTTCCCTCTAGTTTCCCGCTGCGCTCGGTCCCTCCTCGGGAATTCACTCGGGAACCCGCCGCCACCCTCGTCCTCTCCCGGACCTGGGCCGAAGCAACAAGTGGAGCCAGAATTAATTCCATGGGCGAGAGGAGAGCGAAGGCGAGTGGAGCGCACTGCCGGAGGCTGCCGAGGAGGCGGGGTGGCCGGCGCGGGGGTGGGGGTGGGGGCAGGACGCGGGAGGGAAGGGCAGGGGGTGGGGGCGAGGCCCCAGGGACCAGCGCGCGCGCGAGTGCCCAGCTGGGAAATGCAGCTCCGAATTAACATCGTCTGTTTCATAATCAGTTTACGGGGCCGATTTGGGGAAAGCCACTTCCAGATGGGGAAGAGCAGCCTGGGTTTCCTTTAGGATCTGCTTCAGCTAGTTTGGGGCGGGGAGTAGATGGGGCTAGGGGTAAGGGATAATGAATGGGAAGAGAGGTCGCTCCCCACCCAGAGAACCCGGAAAACCTGCCCCCTCCTGCCAGTGGCCTCCTCTCGGTCGGAGAGGCGGAACAGTTCTCGGATGGAAAGAAGGGTCCGGCTTCGGTTCTTTTAGGAGTGGATCTTTCCCCTGCCCTTCCTTTCCCTCGGACCCATTATTCTGACGTTTTACTCTCCCTCTGGCCCCCATGTCAAGCAGCTGCTGTTGAGGGAGGGGGCACAGAGGGCCTGGTGTGTCTCTTGGAGTTGTCCCCCACGTTTCCATCGCATCACTGTGAGCCTGTGGCTTGAAGAACACTGCCACCCTGCCTCCAGCCTAGCCTCTCTGGCCCAAGTCGGACTCAGTTCATTTAGTTCCAAAAGGCAGGCAAACCCGCCGAGGAGACAGGTTCCCCAGTGGAGCCAGAGTTGCATAAGCTCCGAAGCATCAGCGGTGTCCCCGGCTTCCAGGGCGCAGGGAGCCGGGCGGAGAACGTTCCCTTCCTGAAGATATTCGGGGCCAGAAAGTTCTGTTGCTGTTCCCACTGGTGACTTTTCCACCTGCAGGCGGCGGCGGAGAGAGGAGAGTGTGGGTAGGAGGAGCAGGTTTCCAACGTCCCCTTTCATATCTCTGATAAGTGTAACTCTGTGATGCCCGCAGGCCCCAAGGGAGCCCCTTCCTTTGGAAAGGCAAGAAAGGTGAACTTCCTCCAGGCGATAGAAGGGCCCTGCCGGAGGCCAGCTCCGTAAAGCGGATGAAGGGGGCCCTGTCGGCAGTAGAAACACTAAAGGCCCCTGGAGCACGCGGTAGCTTTCCCTTGCGAGCCACCCCTTTGGCTTGGACACCTCCGGGCTCCTGGTAGAGGAAATGCTTATGTGCTTCCCAGCGCCGGCTAACCAGTGCTCCCCGCCGCGGCCCGGTCGTCCCCAAAGCACCGCAAAGCTGGGGGCGCGTCCTGGAGAATGGAAATCTGGAGTTTCCCCAGTCTCGGAGAGAGAAGGTTCAGTCTCCTTCCCTACCCCCGCCTGAAGTGTCAAGTTTCCTCCAGGGGAGGGGTGGGCTTCAGGGTCTGTCTTTGCGCGCGGCCCAGGCTGCAAAGGCGAGAGTGGATGCTGAAACCATTCTCCAGAGTACGCGCGCGCGCGCGCGTACACACACACACACACACACACACACACACACACACACACACACACACTCGTGCACACTTACACACATGCGTGCATAGACATGCACGTTCCGAAGGGCTCCAGCTCTCAGATCGCGGCGGGCCTCACTCACTTTTGGAGCTTCACAGCGGGCGGGGAGCGCGGGGCGGGGCGCGGGTGGTGGAGAAATTGATAACAGATTCGGCGGATTACAGGGAATCTCTTTGTTAGAGCCGAAACCACACAAACCGAACCCTCTCCCGGCCCGACGCCCCCGGGGCAAATCCACCAGTTCCCAGAACCCCCGCCAACTGCGAGTGGAGCCACCCGGTTTCCTTAACTCGGATCTCCTGGGCCCCAGAGTAGGGGTGTCCTAAGGAGATCGCCAGGAGAGCCGAGAGCAGCGTCTGCCTTGGACCCCCTGCACTTGCCTGGAAACACCTCGATTTTCTTCCCTCTCCACTCTGTCGCAGCCCCACAAATTTGAGCGATTCAAGGAACTCACAGCGAACTCATTCGAACACCTCCACTTTAGAGGGTAAAACATCCGTCCGGGTGGGTTTATCAGAGATCGGAAACGAAGAAGACGGCGTGAAAGGAGAACTTTTGTGAGATTGCCGCAGCAGGGCTAAAACAAAAGTTCTGATCAAAGTTATCCAGAGAACGAGCCAAATGTTTTCCAACAGGGGCACGGGAAAGCAGACTGAGAAGTCGGAGCATCAGTCCTCGTGGGCGTGCAGAGGAGGCTGCGGGCTTTTAAGAGGTGCAGCGCAGGGGTGAGTGAGGTAAAAGAAAGGCGTCTGCCGGTCCCGAAGCCAGGGCAGCTGGATCTAGATGCTGCTGCTTCCCCAAAAGCGAACCCCCAAAGCCTTCAGGATGTACTAGATCAAAGGTGCTGATTGTAGTGCGGTTCTTAAGGTGCCGACACCAGGGAGAGGGAAGTTGGTGGGAAAAGAGGACTCCCTCGGTCTAGAGAGCTACAGGACGAGCGCAGGAGTCCAGTAACCAAGTGCAAAGACAGGCGGTCCCTTAAGGACGAATCCTAAAGAGGCGAGGCAAAGAGTCTCTTCCCCTACCTCACTGTTTGGTCATTGCCTTCCGCTAGATTCTACATTTAGGGCCCACGTCTGGGAGTGGAAATGATGAGAGATGCCAACTAGGCGGAAGAAGAGAGTGACCCAGGCTCCCGGTGGCGAAAAGGAAGATGGGAAAATCCCAGAAGATCTCCGTTCTTGAAGAGGTGGAAACTGAACTGTGCTCCCCAGTCTCCTCTTTCTCTGAAGCAAGAAGAGAGATGGAGAAACTTGCTGGGAGGAAATTCATTTACCGACACAAATTTGGTTCCTCGACTTCGGTGGAGAAAAGACCCTGAAGAATGACCAGTAGGGGTCTACTTAAGGGGAAGTAGACAAAGGAAGGGTTGCTCCCCACCTTGCCCCCCTGGGCACAGCTGAGCTATAGCTGCCCTGCACGGAGAATAAGTGACCACAGCACTGTGTGTACATGTGTATGCACACATGCAGCAGGCAATAATAGCCAGTGATATAAGCCGGAGGTTGTCTGGAGCTGCTGCTGTTAGGGCAAGGAACCTGAATAGTTCCAGAGCGACCCAGAACAGTGATAATATAGAAGAACACTCGAGCTTGATTCTCCTCGTTCCTGGGCCTCAGCAACGCACTCCAGGACTCTTCAGGACCAACGCACAGTTAATTACCTCTCCTAACTCAGCACAGACTCTTCTGTCCAAACCTGAGTTGAGTATCCGCCAGAGCGTGAGAAATTAAAGATCAGTTCAATCCCCAATCTTTACAGGGATTTTTTTTTTTATAGACGAAGACGAAGTCACTGTTTTTTATAGACTTAGAAACAAGGCTAAGAGAGGAAAAGGAACACGTATCCAAGACCACAGGAAGAATTGGTGAAACAACCAAGGCCACACCCGAGGCCTCCTACGGTGACACTCCCTCCCCAGTGACCAGAAAGGGTAGGAATCCTTTGTCCAATTGTCCGAGACCCCTTTGCTGGGTTACACCTATGGCCCTTTCCTATTCGCAGCTCTAAGCGACACAAACTGTCCCCTGGCGGAGGTCTCCGAGGGGTCTTGGTGGGTGAGAGGGGATCGAGTGGTCGCCAGGGAGGGATGCAAACTGAAGGAATGGAACCCTGAGGCGCCCTACTTCCGGATGGCCAACAGGGGGCAGCCGGCACCGCGCGGTCGGTTAGAAAAGGCCGGGTTAAGGCTCCGAGTTTTGCGGGCGCAGAGCGCACCCCTTATGCACAGGAACTCTCTGGAGGGGAAGATCGGGGGCTTGGGCTGGGCCTCCTCCGAAGGATCTTGAGCCGAACGGCAGATAAGAAGACAAAAGCCAACTTGTCCAAGATTTTAGAACTGATCTCCTCTCCCCCCAACCCCTGCACCCCTAAAAGCAGAGCAAGGGTCCCCACACGTCCGCCCATAACCCTACTTTCCATCACTCCCCAGTTGCTGGGTACTCACGACATTTGCCTCCTCCGCCCCTCACTGCCCCCCAAAATCTCCCTTGCTGGAATCTGACTAGGACAGCGGCGGATGTGCTAATATCAGCCGGAGGGCAAAGGCTGAGGAGTTGCGACCTCACCAGAGGGCCCAAGTTATTTCCCAAGAGCGAGTTGTCCTTAAAGTACGACCGGGGAGCAGTAGTTCGGACAGGGCATGGAGAGTGAAACAGGGCCTCGGAGCACCAGCGTTTAAAACCCTTTCTTTGAGGGAAGAAGGCTACTTGCTTTTAGGAAGCATCTTCGTTCCGATTTTCATCTTATTCTCTAGAAAGCTGGAAATGAGAGATACGAAGTATAAATGGAGATTGTTATTGAGACGTGGAGGGCAGACAGAGGAAAAGTTGTTTGGAAAATTGCTAGTTATATTCCAAGACGAAACGTTAACTTTTTTGTAAAAGTGAACTCTCGGTGACCCTCGGAGTGTGTGACTCGGCTTTAACATACAACTGACAATTAAAACAAACACGAGTTCACAAACTAGCCCCCGCCCGCTCTCGCAACGCAGAGGCCCTAGAGTCTCTAAAGCTCTAGGCAGACTCGGCTGGGGTGGGAGGGGGGGTAGGATTAAAGCCACTAGGACCACTACTCCCCGCCCCCACGGCTGCAGTAAAGGGCCTGAGCTCACCCAGAGGCCGCTAATAATGCTAATAACGCGACCCGGCTCCCCGCGCGGGGTGCGCGCTGGCCCCCCGCCAGGCACTCTTAAAGGCACAGGGGCCTGGACCGCTCGGGTTACTCGACCTGGACAGCCGGGAACCCAGCCCCGGTCGGAGGCTGGGGGTGGGGAGGGCATTGCTCGGGGGTAGGTGGTAGGTGGCCCCTAGTTTCCCTAGCCGTTTCTCCTAACCCAGGTGTCCTCTTGACCCTCAGTTCTCCAGCCACACAGGCTCCTCGTGCCCGTGAAGTGAGCGTTTGATAAATATTTGATGAATCGAATCATTATCCTGTTGCTGAAATATACATAGCAAACTACACTCCAGGTTCTCGGGATAAAAAGGAACGCCGTCTATGAACCCCACTGTTTTTCCTGCCCTCGCTCTTCTCCATAGATGAAAAAGTTTGAAGAATAGCCAGTGTGAAAAGTCTCCAAGGACGCAGAGGCAGTGTCCCCAAGGCAAGGGAACGAAGAGATAGGAGTCCCGGTCAGCGACAGTAGGGTTTAGCTTTCTCTAGGCAGTCGGAGAAATGGAGGGGATAGGCATAAATGGACGGAGTTCAGTTAACTTTAAAAAAAAAAAAAGTAGCGAGCGGGCGTCGGTGCGCACAGAACACTTACCTTCATGGCGAGGGGGAGGGGGCGCGGGGAGGAAGTCGCCACCCGAGCGAAGGCGGCCGAGGAATCCAAGCGAAGCCGCCGGGTTAAGCCTGGGGGGACGATCCAGAGCAGGGCTGTGGAGTCCTCCTGGGCGCGTCGGGTGGGCGCAGCGACCCGGAGCAGAAGCGAGCACTGGCGCCCGGGCTCCGAATGCCGAGCTGGTGTAGCCTGGAGATGCGCCCAGGAACCGAGAGGGCGCCGGCGCGCGCGGGCCAGCAGCAAGCGCAGGGCCGAGCCGGGACACGGTGCAGGAGCCGCGGGTCCGACGAGGGCGCGCAGGCGACTGTTCCGCGGCGAGGCGCTCCCTCTCTAACGTCCATCAGCGACGGAGGTAATTAGGGCTTTCCAACCCCAAATGTGGGCGTGATTGTGCAAAAGACTTTACAACAAATAATAAAAAAAAAAAATTCTTCACAAGAGGGTGAAAAAAATGCCCCACTACTCAACTGTGGCCCGAGGCGGGGAAGGGGGGGGCGATCCCTGTGCCCAAGGTGCCCCCAGTTCATTCACACCACGAATTCTGCAGACTCTCGGCGGCTCACGCCTCCTGATCCTCAGCTCCTCCTCTCTGGGTCTGTGGCCGAAACGTCTGCTTCCAGGGGCTGCTCCTGCAGCGAGTTAGCTAGTGGACGTCTATGTACACACAGACACACACCCAAACACACACACAGACACACACACACACACACACACACACACACACACACACACACACACACAAAAACACGCAGACAGGCGCGCAAACACAGACACACACAGCAGCTTTGGGGCCACAGAACAATCAGGCACGCATGGCTTTTTCTCCGGGAGATGCCGCTGAAATCGCACAAGTCGCCATCAGAGCTGCAAGAGTCAGCGCCAAATTTTGTCCTTTCATTTTAGGGTCTGGCAAAAACCGGGCGCAAAATGGGTGCAAGTTGGCCCTGGACTTTCCGCTGCGCGGTGGCTTGAGCCGTTAATGGACAGCTAACCCGTGGGGAACGTTGGCTTCCCCCTTTTGGACCCCTTCTTTCTTTCTTCGGGTTAACCTTCTTCTTTCCACCCCCTGCCTTTCCAGGGCGAACAGAGCGAGGGGACGGCGGGCGCGGAGCTCCCCTGCGGCGACTCAACTCCAGAGGTCCATGGCGGTCGACGCTGCCCACCTCCTCAGTCGCGACCCGGGTCCGAGGGGCGGTAGTGGGGCCCGGAGGAGGCGGCGGAAGGAGCTCCCGAAGCAGCGGCCACACAAACCGGACTCCGGACGGCGGAGGCGGCGCCTCGGAGCCTGCAGCAACTTTCCACGCGACGCGGTGCCCCGCAGACTGACTGCCCCAGCGCGGGGACCGCGTGCCCCCCCACCCCCCCCGGCCCTCCTGGCCAGCTCCTTCACTTTCGCCCTCCCTCTCTCCAGACTCCTCTTTCCCCTGGTGTTCTCAGCGAGAAAAAAAAAAAAATATTTTTAAAGTTGCAGAACCAAACCCGGCTGGAGAGGCAAAGGGGGGTGGGGGGAGAAAAAAGTCAACTTTGCCTGTGCGCATGCGTGGTGAGGCTGTCCTATGACAAACTTCGCAGGATTTTAAAGCTGTACTACGGGCCGGGGTGCCGGGAGGCGGGGTACGCTCCTTCCTTGGGCCCCCTCCTCAAGGCTCCCCATCCCCCAGGCATCTGTTGAACGATGTCCACTCGGCCGCTGTTGCCTGCTCACCTCCTGACTGGTTCGGCTTCTTCCAAAGCCATCGACCAGTTTAGGAGGCTGAACCCCATCTTTCCGAACCAGACCCCAAGCTGCGCTCACTGGGGCCTCTTCGGAGACGACCTCCCTGACTCTCCTGGGGATGTCTCCTTCTAACGCCCGGGGAGGGTACTTAAAGATTGAGCTTGGAGGGTAAGGTGGGCTCGAGCATCCTGCAAAGTCCCCCGGTGTCCTAAAGGTTTGATAGACAGGACTGCACCTCGGACTTGAGATTCTGAGCGGCCAGGCAAGAACAGAGGTCATGCCGCTCTCGAAGATCTAGGCAGCTGCTTTCAGGTGAGAAGAGTGCAAAGTTCAGCTGAACTGGGATTCCGAACTTCTAGACAAGTCTAGATAACTGAAATGGTTAAGATTTCGATTGGGCAGAGTTGGTGGATGTGCACCACCCCATCCTACAGCATGCCATGGGTGCCACGCTAGCTCAGTGTCTCATGGGATAGTACAATTCGTCTCCACCTTTCCCATCTTCCAAAGGTCAAGGGTGGAAGTCTCTCTCTCTCTCTCTCTCTCTCTCTCTCTCTCTCTCTCTCTCTCTCTCTCTCTCTCTCTCTCTCTCTCTCTCTCTCTCTCGTCGTCAGTTTTCTTCATCCAGAGGCTTGCCCTTGGCACTGACAGTTCGGGTTTGCTGCTCTGGTTCCTCACCCTACCCCCATCCCTGGCAGCCCACCTTAGAACATACAAAAGCCAGAGGTGTTCCGCATCAGATACGTGACCACACCTCCCTCAGCCCAGCCATATTTGTACCCACTAACGGAATGCCTCCCCATCATAGCATCCCTGGTCCTTTTGCTGGGAATGCAAACATGGTTTCGTGAGCTATGCAAACTGCATGAGATGGATGGATGGATCTGCTCCACCCCCACCCCCCACCCCCCCCACCCCCCCACCCCCTTACTGGCTGCTTTCTTTTGCTAAGGATGCTTGCAGCCCTGAGGAAAACCAGAGGCTCTCAAGACTCCCCTTCACCTCTTGGGTCTCCTCTCCTCCAACCCTTTCTAGGCTTCCACCCCTTATTGATCTGTGGGCATTTCACAATTTTTCCATGTAGCTTTAGACTTGCACACTTGAGGAAAAGGAATAAAATTTAGGGATTTTTGCATCCGGAGAATTGCTTCCAGGCACTCTCTCTTCCCTTCTCTTCCCTTCCCTTCCCTTCCAGCTAAAGTTCTGTAGCAGCTGCAAAGACATTCCCATGCCTCCCCACCCCAACCCCAGGCCCAGGCCAGGTGTTCCCAGGCAGGCACCCAGCTCAGCCCTGGGGTAGCACATCTCCAGGATATACCTTTCCAGTGGCTGTTGAGAACAAGCAAGGAGTAGCTATGAACTATGAACCCCAGAGCTTCCCAAAGGACATGAAAGTCACTTTGGCACCAAGTGCCCTGGATTCCAGAGGCAGGCCACATAAAGAAACAGGGTAGAGGGGAAATCCCCTCCACTTACAAAGCAAAACCACTGGCTGCTCAACCCTGAGCGTTTTCTTTATTTTACTCAGCTATTGTCTGAGTTACCTGGATAATTGCTTGCTTCTCAACCGTTGCCTTTGTGGGTTAGATTCAGCCTTGGGGGTTCATCCCTTTATCCTCTAGTGGAAGTTGAAGCCTGGAGTCCAGTTCCTTCCCTGCTACTTTCTAGTTGTTCATAAGGCCTCCCAGCACCTCCATAGCTTCTGAAACACACACACATACACACACACACACACACACACACACACACACACACACACACACACACACACGCAGCCAGAAATTAGATGGTGTACTCAGAAGAAGGGCACTTAGAATGGACGAGGATGGCTTTGACATTAGAGAGTGGTAAGAATACCAAGATGACTTGTTGCTAGACACTGACTCTTTTAGAAGAAGAAAAAAAAAAGCTCTGAAAAATTGAGGTTTTCAAACCCCCTTTGTGGCATGCAAATTTTGACTAGACCGTTTGTAGCCAGTCTTTACTTCAGTGCCAGAGACTATTCATACTTTTCACGGAAGAAATACAACACATTTGATTATTGGCTATTTCCCCAGACATCACCAATGCTATTTGAGTTATATACTATATTTTATTGCTCAAGAAAAAAATTTTGGCAAGATTTCCAGCAAGCCTATCTGGTCCCAGTGACTTCAGATAAAGGGATGAGAGCTTCTTAACTGGTGACTCAGTGGTTTCATAGAGCTATAGCACTGGAACATTGAGCTCCAAGTATGCAGGACCTCAGCCCTATCCTTCAGACATGTGACCTAAACAAATCGGAAATCCCCTGGGAGCCTTTAGTGAAGGGCTGAGGGTGGGTGCCCGGGGGAAAGCTGGATTTCCTAAGAGTCAGTCCCACTGTGGGTGCTGCTTGGTTGGTTTGACT